CACACACACACACACACACACACACACACACACACACACCACTCCTCCATGCTCTCTTCTGCTCCCTCGCTTCTCTCGCCTCCTCTGGTTTGGCAGTTGACCGCCAGCATGTGTGCTGGGTTTGTGTCTGTAAGCCTTTCGATGGCCCAGACTTCTGTTTAATTGCTGGCTCTATAGGCTCAAATTCAACACACAAACAAAAGACAAAAAAGATACTGTGGAGAAGCACTGGCGTGCTAAACTCATTTGTCTGAAAGCAATGCAGGCTGTGAGCATGAGTTGTTCAACCAAACCATGTGAGAACTAAATGGGCAGAAAACATTTTCTAASTTGAAAGAGTAAAACTTGAAATTGATGAGACAAATTCTGAGCTGATCCATTTCTGTCTTGAAAATCAACACAGTTCATTCAGATTTGTCTCATTGGGTGATTTCAAAAAGAGAGCAATGAACATTGTCCATTGCTAATAGTGCCAGAGTTTTAAAGTTAGATGTTAAGGTGAAAAGTAAGGAAGTTGTAGCATATYAAATAGATGTTAAATAGATGAACATATAGTGGTTACTTCCTGGGAGTTTTAATAAAATTTGTCCATTGGTTCAGAAGATATTTCATTAACATTATAGACAAGCGCAACAAAGCATTTTTGCCCTTCACCTTCTACTGTGGGCAATAAAAAGAAACAAACTTCTTTTTTATATAATGTAGTCTTTAGTCAGCAACTTTCTTTAATCAGCAACTCTTGAGAATTTTATTGTCTACATTAAATTATTTAGAAAACTAGGATAAAGTGTTGAAGTGGTGAATAAATTYACCGCAATAAAAAAATCAGCTGTAATTATTTCTCAGTAAAAACATCCAAACTGCATTTTCTAAACAATGTTTTGGAAATAATTGCATTGATGGAAAAGCCTTCCAGCTTTTTATTATCATATTTAAGGCATTACTGTGATGGTATGGAGCTGCACTGAAACAAACAAGGTTCTGTTTTGAACAACAGACTTTTGTCTCTATTTTAATAGATTTCCTGAGGCAGTGCTATTTTTAGGAAGGTAATGTTCTGTATGTAAAAGAGCATTGTTTTTAATTATAGCCCTACTGAGCTGCCATGTCACCTGTGAAAATAGGTGGTATAACTCAAGTCATATTTTGTCTCACTTTAACTATTTTCACTTCAAAATCATTTGCAAAACACTTACATGTGTTTTTACAACTTAGACCTTTTACAAGTTTRAACAACAACCTTATAAAAGCTCTATATTGGTAGATAAAGTTTTCTCAGTATTTACTTTGGCTACAGTAGGCTCTAAACAAAATCATTAAATTTGACAGAAAAAACAGAAGGTATTTGAACTTTTTTGTCCAAAAGCAACCCCAGGCTCTTTTGACATTTTTAGCTCTCAAAGACAGGACAACAACACCCCTCAGGCGTGTTTCAATAGGAATTTTCTCATGTTCCAGCCAAAGAGAACAAAAAAATTCAAAATATTTACAAAAAAAAAATAAAACTAAAACAGTAACATTTCACATTAACCACACTTAATCATTAATGGTTAGTTAGCCTTAAAAACATCATAAATTATGGACGATTCACACTTAATAAGCTTTAAATTAACACATTTAATAATGCTTTCAGACCAAAATCATAATCTATTAAAATAATCACTAACCATTATTAGATATCTAACACAAGATGTGAAAATACTTTTACATACATACGCACAGTATATATAGAATAGTTAACTCATGAGTTATTAAGCACAAATAATGAGCTATTAAGCACAAATAATGAGCTATTAAGCACAAAACGATGATGGTTTTGGAAGTAAATAACCTTTATGGGAAAAACATTAATAAATGTGTTAATTTATAGCTTATTAAGTATGAATCATCCTTAATTAATTATGCTTTCAAGGCTAACGATTTATTAATGATTAAGTAAGGCTAAATAAGGTTATTATAATGTAATGTTGAGGAAAAAAGGGGCAGATATTATATTTTTTTTCTTCTTTCTGCCACCTTTCATTTCATTTTATTTGTATTTTCTTTTTTATTGTGCATAGAATTTTGTTTTATGAAATGAAAGTTTATAACAATAAAACAAAAAAACTAATTTGTGAATTAGTGCTGCCTGCTCTGATGAAATGATCTTTACATTTCTCTAGCTCCTAAGTTCATTCATCAAAATGTTTGGATTTTAAAGGATTGCATAATAAATTGATGAGCTCCGTCATGAATATCTGCTGTGCTGTGAAAATGAAAAGTTTTTTTATGGAGCCAAAGATGTGGAAAAAGAGGGTAGGGAATGTAACAGATACAGATTTATTTGACAAAAGGAAACCTGACACAACCTCCAGCGGGGAGAGGAAAACAGTCACAAACACAAAGTCACTATTATACAGAGAACAAACTCACAGCTTTTCACCCCGTGGCAMAAAATGACATTTCAGCACCTTGCTCAGACAGACGATGAAAAAAAAAACTATAATGTCTTTTCCACAACATCAGAGTTTCGTAAACCAAACACCTACGCATGTTACCTGTCTGAATGTTGCACCTGTCCTCTCATCAGAACTCATTCTCCGCCCTGTCCATCCTCTTACTTTCCCTCTCCTCATAAACGTATATTTTCTGTGTGTTACCTAACAGTGGAGCTGAAGAAAGCTGTGAGCCGAGTTAGGAAGCTGGGAGGACGTAATGCAGATGGTTCCCACACTTCGAAATGAGGACTGCGATGCRATTATCTAAGGAGTGGGGAGAAAAGAGTTCACAGTTTAAGGATAGATGTGATGACGAGTTGGAGCAAGCGGAAAACAAAAAGATGACATGAGGTAATAAAAACAACTGCAAGCGGAGGATGTTATGTAAGGAGGGAGGAGGGGCTGATGAAACATCAGGATGTGAGGATTTCGGTTTTGGTTTCTTGTGTTTGTACACATCTTTGGCATGCCACTTTTGTAATATGAACTAACTTGTCAGTTGTGAGAGGTCTTATTCATCCATTCATTTTCTTGTAGCTGTGGTTGGTTAGCAAAGGAAGCAGGTCAAAGAGGAAGAGACATCCCTCTCCAGCTCCTCTTGTGGGATCCAAAAATATTCTAAGGCCAGAGAGGAAACAATCCCTCCAGAGAATTCTGGGTCTCCTTCCAGTAAAATGTGTCTTTRAAGTGTCCAGATGTCTGAACCACCTCAGCTTTCAACGTGGAGGAGCAGCGACTCCACTCASTGTTACCCACTGATGTATGTTTACATTATGGTTTAAATGCAGCCTCCATCAGACTCCAGTGTGAACGCTTTATACCGTTGATGCGACCCTCGTGCACGGCGGAAGACGTGATGTCATAATCAGCTGGCTGTTTACAGAATGAATATGGATGCTACTTATTAGCATGTCGATTTTGATGTTGTTCTGCAATCAGAGCCAATTAAATAATTATCTATTATGCTTGTTTAGTTCAATGTTTGCATTTGAACCTGCTTCTGGCTGACTACTTTAGTGCAGCATGTATTAATGGAACGGGAGTAAAACAAACTAAAGTACTGATCCAGTAATTTTTAATATGGTCCGAAACAGATGTTACTATCATATATTTCTATGGACTCTTTCAGCCATGATTCACAACCATCGGTTGAGATTTGGAAAAAGAAAACCAAAAAAAAAAATCTAATTTAAACAAGAAATTATGTTTTCTGTTTAATCTCTACATATTGCAGACATCTTTTTTTCTCTCTGTGTTTCTGTTTGTGCACACCTGAGCTGGCCTTTCCACACAACACACTCCCCCATTCCATCCTTATCGTTCATTATCAGAGTGTGTGCGTGAGAGGAAGAGACAGTGGGGGGTGGCATGAGATAGATAAGATAGATTCCCTGTTTTATTCCTCCTGCCATCTTGGAAGCTGAGCATAATGTACTGAAACTCAATACCGTATGGTATTGAACAAAAAGAAACATTGAAAATGCCCATTTCCTCTACGCAAACAACACCCATCACGCCAGATTTGATAACATCGTTACCACCAGCCATGCGAGTAGAACTGATGAATAATGTATTTGCTGCCGTATCCCCTCTTTGCCTTCTACCTCTCCTTTAGTCACATTAGCTAGTGGCTCCTCTACTGCTCAGAGTCACATTAGCTAATCCCTGCCTAGCGTTTTTTTCATTTTCCATTATCCTAGAATGTCACAGTTGCATGTACACAAACCATGTTAAGAACACATAAAGATAGACGCATGGAGGCATTCCTGACAGAAATATAAATTGGACAGATATATTAACACTGACAACGGACRTGACTGACAGGATCTTAAAGTAGGCAGGCATCAGGTGTTAGCCTGCAGCATCCTATGATTAACAAGATATGCCATGCATCATGTGGAACACCATGATGGGCACAACTGGATTTGACGCACAATATATCTATATTTTCTCAAGTGATGTATAGATATGTTCCAATGTGGACTCTTCCCTAATCAAACTACATAAAAACCATAGAGGTGTGAGTTACTCTAATTACAATGGTGTTTAGGTCAGGAATGGGCAACTGGAGATTCACAGGCCACGTCCAGCCCAGGGGAGACTTCCATCTGCTGCACCCACAATTTTCATCATACTTTAAAAAAGTACTCAAAGTAGCTCTTAGATTAATCTTTGAAAATTACAGAAATAAGTGGCACTGACTTAAAAAGGCAGATGCCCTCTCGTGCACACGTCTTCTCTACCAGTGATGAAAAGACATTTGGCTGAGATTCAGGATCCATAAAGGGTTACCCYGAAAATGATTTTTCTTTGAGTGCTCAGAGCCAGACAGTGACCWAAGTAGTGTAAGAAGGTCAAATGATGATGTTGGGAAGTTATTTGTTCAGTTTCCATATCCTGTTCCGTCAATTTCCCATTCATCATGTTCAGTGTTGCACAGT